ACTTATTTGTCTGTATTTTTATTGTTTGCAGTATTTCCACTGTTAAAGATAGTTAAATTTTTATAGTTATCTTATATACATTGATATGGAGGCATGTGACACACGACACAGGAGCTCTAGTTTTACACTCCAACTTTATTCACCTCCAAACATGAACTGAGCATATTGCGCTCAAACACAGCAGAACCCTTCCTCCCAGCTTGGGTGTGAGTGGAGCCCTCTAGTGGGTCGCCACATTGACATTGTTAGGACTTGTCACTAGTTGAAAATTGCATGCTATGTACATGTAGATGAAAACCAAAATACTACTGCTAAAAATTTTGCATTACAAGTAAAGAAAAAAACTGTTTTTTATTGTTTACCGTGTTTCTTAAATAGAAAGAGATGTGTTCAGACATGTAATTTTGTCAGAGCTAACAAGCAATTTTTCATCGCAGTTTTTCTTCAAAATGCTGACAAAGAAGAAAAAAAACTCTTTCTGCAGCACCAGTGAATTTGTAATGTGACCTTGTCTGTTCTTGGTCGGAGGTAATAAATGTGTTTGCCTAGTGAGTCTTGGGAAGCAATATAGAGAATAAATTATTTTTTGGGATGTTTTTACAGGCTGTCATGTGAAACTGATGAGCTCTATGAAACTTGAATTTCAGATTTGTCAGCCATGATGTTGCTGTTGATACACTTACAATAAACCACTTTATGATAAGAACAACTGTCTCCCTGCCTGCCTCTCTCTCAGTCAAGGTCAAACAAGCTCCAACTTTGCATTTAAATGCCTTACCCTGTTAGCAAACATGACTCATTTCTCTGGATACATTTGTAATAATGTAATTTGAAAGTCATTTCAAAACTCAAATCTACACCATTATTGATGACTGTGTCAAATGACCTACAGGTACACAGGCATAAAGTCCACACACACACACACACACACACACACACACACACACTGGTCGATTTCACCAAATCTACCTCATTAATTCAAGCAGTCTGACTTTCTAAACATCATAAATCACAGCAGAACTAGGAGCCCAACTCTCCTCACCTTTTCATTCCCTCCCACTTTCTTTTAACCTTATCTTCTCTCCATCTCTCGCTCTATGTCATCTACTCCTTCCTCAGTCACTCTCTCATTTTCTCTTGCTTCCCCTCACTTCTTTGGGAGGTCCAGAAAGTTTGCAGTCTGCAGTCTAAATAGTGCTCTGATGGATTGGCTGTCTTCCACGGGCCTGAAGATTAGCCCAAGGGCAAACCCACTTCTGTTTCCTGGGTGCCTTGCTGAAGATGAATAACTGTTTATTAACCCAATGCAGAGTGAGTCCTTCCCCACATCATTATGGGGTAGAGGGGGAAAAATACAGACAGCTTGAGCTGGCCAGTGTAGCACTCCCTCACCTCATCTCTGTCACTCTCTCTTCTCTCTCTCCCCATTCCTCTCTTGCTTCCTCTTGCAGATAAACCAGCAGCCTGATGTAATGTGACAGTGTACGTTTGGTTCCTGTTTGCGCCCTGACAACTCAGGAAATTGGCTTTTCATCTTACAAAAAATACTGCCTCCCATATATTAGAAGACATTCATCTTATTATGAAGAGCTGATGGTAATTGGAAGTTTGTGCATCCATTATATTAAACATTTTGTGGTGAACATTTTGATGTTGCATGTAAAAATTTCACCAGGCTAAAGTCACAGCTTCAATGTCATTTAGGCAATTTACATGCAGTGTGAATTGTCCTCTTATTGTAGACCCAATTGAGGGAATTTGAAGAAAATAATTTCTAGAAGATCACTTAGGTCACCAGTAACGTAGTGGATACTGTCATGGGATATGTTTTGTTTTTGTGACATGCTAAATAAAATTGTATATCTTTTGACATTAGACATGCTAAATATGCTTCTTATTTATTTTCAAAGCTTTTCCATTTGAATGTTCATAATGGATGAAAACTATATCAAATGTTCACCCTCTAGATCATCATCAGTGATAACTCATACCCTAACACTATGTGTTGGAGACAAGCAAAAAGGAAAAACATGTGAGCAGTTTGATGCATTCGAGGTAGAATGCCATCCATCCACTGTTTGTTTGTTTGTTCTTTGTTTTTGGTTTTTTGAGTGCAAAGACCTGAGAGAGCAATTTTTTTAAAAGAACAAATGCTCTAATAACAGAATTAGGTAAGATGTAGACCTCAGAGGGTCTGAACCTAAGGCCTGCGATGCTTTGCAAGTTGCCTCATGGATGCACTGAGGTCAGTTTGATTGTGCAAGCATAATGAATACAACACAGAAAGTTGCTGTGAAGAAGAGAATATGAACCAGCCTTTATTTACCTCAAACCCAACAGCAAAGTTTCCATTTAACTTTTTACATTTTTAATACATATTCCAAACTACTGTTAGACTTATCTTAGAAACTTGGTGCGATGAGATAGTGTTGAAGCCATCTCTCTAGTCTCACGTGACATTACAGAAGAAAAGGGCACAATGTGACGGTATAATTATATAAATGCCAGTCAAATCGCAAATGGTGGAAATTATGATGAAAGTATGACATTTCTGTCACATTTCTTTGTTCATGTAGTCTTTTGTAGAACCTCTGTCTGTCTGTCTTTTCCCTTCATTTCTACATATCTGTATTCATCTGCTTTTTTTTGTTTCTTTAATTGAACACTGTTCAAATTTGCCATCTCTGCCCAGCATAAAACTGTGGTGTATTATTTTTCTGAATTTCTAATTTTCTTTTCCTTCTAGCTGTATTATTCGAAACTTTAAAAATGTTTAATCTCTAGGACTATGTTCTCTTTTTCGTGTAATATTATCAAAAATGAGAAACCTTTTCTCTCAGAACGACGCTACACATTAGTTCATACATTTCTTACCTCTAGGCTGGACTGTTACAATTCTGTATTATCAGGTTGTCCTAGTTTCCTGGTACAAAGTACCGCAGTAGGAATGGGACTCCCTCTGGTCACACTTCATTGGCTTCCTGTTAAATCCAGAATTTAATGTGAAATCCTTCTCTCGTACACTCAAGTCCTAACTGATCAGAGCCTATCATCTCTTAAGACCGACAGTACCACGTTATCCTGATAGAGCACATCACTCTTAGGCTTTCAGGCTTATTTCCCAGAGTATTTACTTTTTAATTGTATAGTTTTTCAGTTCAGTTTTTTCAGCGTTTAGTCTTTTTTTAATTACTATAATATGGAGGGCATACGTTAGAGGCAAGATTTACAAAAATTAGTACAAGTATTACAATAAAAACACAGGCGTTTTCAAAAGCAGTTGACTCACCCTTTTGTAGACATCTAAAGTCCCAATAAGCACATCCATCAATGTCTCAACAGGAACGTGTAATGCAATTTTTACCAAAGTAATGCATATTAAAGCTAGGGATATTTCCTCTATTATTATTTAATTTTAGTTAGTTTTCCAAGTTTACAAAATCGTTTCAGTTCAATTTAACACTATACTAAAAAAATTAATAGTGAATATTTCAATGAGAAACTGAAATATTCAACTTTAATAATAATAATGATAATTCACCTTTAAGAACAAGATTTGGAGGCTCAATGGACTCTCTATTTCAGAGATACAAGTGAATCAAAACAATCAATCAAATTTCTTATAAACACCTAGAGTAAAGCAAACCTGAAGCTTTTCAGGCCATCTATGTTCTGTCATCAATGGATAGTAGCCCATTTTTTCTGACTGATTATCCTGGTTGTTGAACAGGAAACATGAAAATACCAATTATGAATTTAAGAATGTAGGACTATAAAGTTTTAAAAATGTATTACCCTCCTTGTATTAGATTGTATTTTGTATTAGATGTCTAGTTCAGTCAGACCTCATCCCCTTAACCTTAACCCCACTACCAGCATTGCATTTTCCACTTCATACTTCACTTCAACATTTTCATAGTGAATCTCACCAATATGTGTTGGAAAAGCTGAAGACAGTCTTATCTGTATAATACTTTATTGCTAATATGTTACTTCTTAATCAACACAAAAAGGTCCTCAAAGCAATAAACCACTTTGTTATTACTTAAGCAAGCAATATGTCTATTAGACTCAATTTCTACTTTTGCAACAACAACAAACAAATCCTCAAGTGCCAAACTGCATTATATTTCTTCACGTCAATATATGGGCCGCACGTAGGGGCGATGTGAGTCGCAGGTGGCCCCCTGGCCGTGAGTTTGAGACCCCCGTCTTAAAGCCTGGAGGACCTTTAATTCCTTACTTCTAAAGTCACATAAACTGAAGTTATTGTTCTCAGCCTTAAAAATCTTTTAAAAACTTGGCGACAAACCACATACTTACTCTGGATGGCATTACCTTGACCACCAGTAACGCTGTGAGAAATCTTGGAGTCATTTTTGACCAACTTCCTAAAAAGCCTTCACTTGATCCAGCATGTTGCAGTGATGACAGGGACTAGAAATAAACCATATTTCTCCCAAATTATCTAAGCCTGGTTATGCTGGAGGTTTCTTCCTGTTAGAAAGTATGGTTTTTCTTCCCACTGTCACCAAGTGCTTCCTCATAGGGGATTATCTGATTGTTGGGGTTTTGTCTGTATTATTCTAAGGTCTTTACCTTATAATACAAAGTGCTTTAAGATGACTATTGTTGTGATTTACCAGTATATGAATAAAACTGAAATGAATTTAATCAATCTGGAATGGGTAAAAAGGACATTTTCAAATCATCTTGTAACCGGAAGGTTGCCCGTTCGATCCCCAGCTCTGTCTGTCTTGGTCGTTGTGTCCTTGGGCAAGACACTTCACCTACCGCCTACTGGTGTTGGCCAGAAGGGCCGATGGTGCGATATGGCAGCCTCGCTTCTGTCAGTCTGCCCCAGGGCAGCTGTGGCTACAACTGTAGCTTCCTCCACCAGTGTGTGAATGTGAGAGTGAATGAATAGTGGCATTGTACAGCGCTTTGAGGGCCCTGAAAAGCGCTATATAAATGCAATCCATTATTATTATTATTATTATTATTATTATTATTATTATTATTATAGAATCAAATGTACAGCCATCTATCCATAGCTTTGCTGACATTGGGTCATGCAACTGGACAATGATCCAAACACACCAACAAATCTTCAACATAATGGTTGAAAATTCATTGACAGTCTAATTTCTCTGCAATATTCCACTTACTCGTGTTTTCTTATATTTGCAATGAGTTTCCTAATCTTTAGCTGACAGATGTGGTTGCCATTGTCTTCCAGCTGTTTTTCTCACCCTCTCCATTCAACCTGTTTCATGAATCCAATGATAATTTCCTCTGTGCTTTTATTTTGTGGACACAGTGAGAACATTTATATTCACATATTAGTGAATAAGGGTCTGTGTTAGTAGTATGTTTTAAAATATTGAGTGCTTCCATTTAACTGTAGTTATAGTAGCATATTTGTTTGCATGAACTGTGGACAGTGACTGAAAGAACACCATCACCAAGTGAAATTACACTACCTGCAGACTCAATAGATATTTACTTTTGAAATAGCAACAATTTTGGAGAAAATACAGTAGAAATTCCTTCATCACTAGTTTTATAGCGTGACCCTGTAAAAATATAGTAATGTTCTAAATTAAATTAATTGAACCATACTAACAGAATGTTACTGTAAAATGCACATTTTTGTCTTTCACTCTTGTTTCTAACTTCCCATAAATGAGCCTCTGAGGCAGGGAGTTTAATGCAGTTAATCCTGTTCTTAAGGTTAACCTGTTAGATCAGATTAACCTGTTCTGTTTGGCTTTGACTGGCTTCTTTCCAGTTGCTGTAATTGGTTGTTACATGCAGGCAACAGCTGACTAAATATTTAAAAAGGGTATAAGACTTTAGTATAAGATTAGTGCACAAACTAGCAACAATAATTTTAAAGTCTAACAACATCACTTAGTTGCTGATAATTTACTTGGCTTTGAGACTGAGATAAAATACTGAAATATTTGACCTGTTACCACTTCTTCCTTTTGCCTCCCTGTAGATGCACAAGAATGCTCCTCTTCATTTGAAAAATTGATCCACAGAAAATGCATTACCTGCCTTTAACTTAGTTGGAAACTGCAGCATGGTGACCTAATTTATAAGTCCACCGTCAAAAGCTGCAAATATTATCGAACATGACTATGTTGAAAAGGTCTAAATGTTTATGCAAGGCTGGTTTCTAACCAGCATATCTGGCATAAAAACAGCTGCAAATTAGTCAAATGGTTTCAGTAAGGACATGAAAACAAAATAAATGACTGAATTTGTTTTGGTTTTTTTGATTAGTTTCCCATTTTTCCACGTTGATAATTCTGCCTGGCACCCATTAGGTGGACCGGAAACAGAAACAGTGTTTGCAATAGTGATAGTGTGACACATGTACTTAACAAGAAATTACTTAACAACAGATCTGTGTTGTCTGTGAAATAAATAAATGCAAATGTGAAAAACTGTGCTTACACTAGAACAATGAACAGCTAGTGGTGGTAAGATGAGACGGTCTTGTGTCACCCCCTCCCCTTACTACCACTATTACTGTAGCTCTGACCACATCCGCCATCATCATTGCACTTTTCCATGACACCATCTTCACAGCTAATCTTATCAATATGTCTTTGAATTGACCAAAGACAATGTTGTAACATGCAGGCAAAGAGGTAATATGGCAATAATGCTATATAACAGACGTAACAGTGAGGGTTAAAGTTTTGTAAACAAGGAAAAGGCTCTCAGATAGATAAATCACTTTGTTTTTACTTAAGCAAGCTGAGCACAGAAGAACTGTTGATAATGACATACAAGGTTTTCTAACTTTCAGTGAGAAATTAGTGAAGCAAAAGTAAAATCATATCAAGTATCATCCTGGTTAAGTTTGCAGCTTTCAAGTGTACCATCACCGCCCCGCAGAAACCTTGTAACTCCAGTTGCCGTGGTAACTGCAGCTCACATTGGACCCATATGTCAAAAAAAAAAAAGAAAAAAGTTTCATAGACCTGAGACTAACCGAACCACTGAAAACCTTTTAAAACCATAAATTCGAACATGTTCTATTATTTACTGAAAGTTTATCTCATTGGAGGATTTTGCAGAACAATTACATTATGCATGTACTGGTGTGCACTGTGAATGGTGATTCAAAAGTTTCACAACACCAAATCAAAACAAGTACCTGCAGAACGAGTGACTGGCATTTACATGGAAAAGCTACATTACCACGTACTCTGGAGAATGCGTCTGTTGTTCTGTCTTGGTAGAAATATTGAAATATAAAAAGCAATACAACCTTCGCAGGGAAACCAAACACAGAAACTAAATGTGCTTCTTACCTTAACATTGACTCTCCATATAAGGCATGAGTTTGTTTTGTTATAAACATTTTTTTGGTCTTTGAACTCAGTTATCTAAAAAGCAATGTGCACTTGTCCACAACCTGGGTTAGATGGAGCGTTATTTACAGCGCTATATCCGCAGACCTTTTTGTTACCACATCTGAAGGTTCCATTATGAATTATTTCAGCTCAAAAGTGAAAGAATAATAACTCAACATTTACGATATTTTGCCATTCAAATTGCCAATGTGTTACCTTCTTTTGGTACAGACAAGCCACCAAGGACAGAACATCACTAACAGGCTTCTCACTCAGATGTTAAGCATAGATACAAGTTTTCAAATGCCAGATAAAATGGAAGGTAGGGTTTAAAAAGAAATATTCAAAGACAGTGACAGGGTTCAATATTATCAAATTTTAAACTGTTAAGCATAACATAACAACTCATTCACCACATATATATAATTATCCCATTTTCCCTTCCCTCAAGATTGTTCTGTAGCCAAAGAAAATAGGGTTAGAAAAGGGAAATCCTCTTCCGCTAATTTTTGAAGACCTCTGAAGAGTTCCTCTTATAAGAAAACCGCGTTTGTCTTTGCAAGGCAGGTGTCTTATGTATGATCTTCTTTTTATTGTTCCAAATCACAAAAACTTGTCAGTGAAAGAAACCTTTTTAGCCTTGTCCAGTTACGCAGTTTGCAGGGCAGTAATAGCAAAAGTGAACCTCCGGGTGGGTTCAGTACAGCCTCCTAAACAGAGTCAAAGTATCCCTCGTTCTCCGAAAAGTCAAGGACATGATGCTGTTTGTCAAAGGTAAAACACCAGAAAACCAACTGAGAGTGACCATAAAAAGGCCAAGCATTCAACCTTCTTCAGAGTACGTTAATCCAGATGATTCGGGTCCAAAGGCCATCTCAGCAGAGTCGTCCCTGAAGTAGCAATTCCTCTTTCTACGAACAGCATCATTCCTGAACCTGGCGATTGTGCTAAACTAGCTAGCTACAGAGCTGGGCCAGCTCAGGTTCAGGTGAAGCATTGGGAAGCTTGGAATTGAAGATCTGCAGAGAGTCCTTGATTCGTGCCACCTCTCCGGCTGACAGCTTGAGGCGGTGGCGCAGGAGACAAGAAAACAGATCTAATGGCTGTGGTGCTGGTGGAGATAGCCGATTAATCCGGTCTCTCATCTCCAGTAACATCAGAAAGGCGGCATCCTGCGTACCCTGTGTGTAGGGGTAGTCCAACTGGAGAATCAGATCCTTGATGCCCTCAGGGTCAAAGTGCATGCTGTATCCGAACACCTTCAGCGTGTTGATCTTCATGTAGCCCAGGTTGGAGGTCTGATCATCCAAGTCCAATGGCTCATAGAAGAGAGTTTCATTCACTGTTGGATCATCCGTGACTATGCGGCTTCTCAGGTAGATGTGCACTGTTTCAAAAAAGGATTTCCACTTGCTGCCCAGAGACAGAGTCCAGTTGTAACACTGTGCAGTGGTGACGCTGTCCAGTCGAGTTCTCTCCCAGTTAGAGAAGTCAGGCTGGTTCACTGGCATGAACCAGCTCTCTGAGTGACTTCCCCCAAAAGGATTCACATAGACAGCAGGCACGGGTTCCAGTGTTGAATTTTTAGTTGAGCATATCTGAAAAGAAATGCCCATTAGCATGTGGATGAGGTTGGACTTGTTTTTGTTACTCTTGAGTGTTAGTAGCATCCTCTTCCTCCAGGCAGGATTGAACCAACTTCCCAGGCGGACATCATTGCTGATATAGATGGCATGGACCTCTATCCTGCTGTCCAGTCGCTGAAGCAGGTACTTTACCTGAAGAGGGATTAACAAACCGTGAGGCTGCAGTCAATGCAATAAGCAGATAGATAATTAATGCACTGGTTCTCAAACTGAGCTATTACCAAATTTTAAATTTCAACTACCACCTTTGCCAGAATTTATAAATCTCATCAAGAGCCACAATGGATGTTTTACAACTTTAGTTTACAAATGCTGAAAACCGTTGTAAAATGTCTGTGAAGGTTCTCAGTCATCCAGGTCATCGTAGTCTAAGGAGCTTGGAAAGAAAAGCGTCTGGACTTCTTTAAGTTTTCTTGAAGACGTTTCACCTCTCATCCGAGAAAGTCTGCCATCTATAATCCAGTTTTGAGATCCCTTCCTAGACGCCTTAACGCCCACTCACATCCTTTTCACACCATGGCTTGTGTGATTAGGCAGAGGATCAATAGGGGGTCCATGACCCTCTTGGGGACACTCCCATAGGGCTTAAAATTTGGGACTCTCCACCAATTGCTTTTAGAACTGAAGAAGCTTCTCAAATGAAACTTAAAGAAGTCCAGACGCTTTTCTTTCCAAGCTCCTTAGACCCCTTGTAAAACTTTTAATGATTTTTAAAGACATTTTAATAAAAAGCAAAAATTAGACATTCTGATTAGGCATTGGCATTATAAAATGTGATTATTTAACTATAATAAATACATAATAAATAAATTTGCTTAATATAAGTTATTTTTATTATAGTCAAAAGCAATAAAAGGGAACTATTGTAAAGAAAAAATGTAAAGGCATACCATTTACTAGAGATCACCTATTTGCTTCCACATCTTTGCTAGCCATTGCTATTGAGGTTCAGCAAATTAAGAGGATCATTTTCATATTTATCAAGTTTTTTGTCAAAGCCAAAGGAAGACACTCAAGTAGGTCTAAAGAGCCACAATTTGAAGGCTTGTGAACTAGGATTAGAGTTAAGGCAGAGGTTCAACAGTGACAACTTAGACCTCTTGAGGGCTAGAAAATAACTGCTGTGGTGATTTATTAAAAAAGCATAGTATGAGTTTTTGCTCCTGGGCTTGCTGAATGAAGGGACTCTTTGCACTGTAGGTACTTCAGAGTCAGCTTTCTATTTTGAAACCCCCTCTCAATCCCTGTTTAATACTGTATTCCTTTTTGAACAAAAAAACTGTACATGACTAATATTTGTACTGTTATGTAAATCTTGTATGTTCAGTATAAAGATTCAACACAAAAACAATTTAACAATTGATGGCATGTGAGCCCTTTGAGGCACTGTTTGTTTAATTTGTCCCAAAGAGCTTTGAGAACCAGTGGAATACATAATTAAGGAGCTTTGAGAACCTCGGCATCAGGCATGTCCAAGTCAAAGTTCAGGTAATGATCTAGCGATGCAGCAATGCTAGGTCGACAGGAACCAAGATGGAGGATGTTGCCGTGATGACAGGCTCCACAACGGGTGGCGTTGTCAGAGGCGCAGAGGGTGCAGGAGGTGGTGGAAGTCCCTACAACACAGGGGATGACTCCTTGGCAGTTTGGCTGCTCCACGGGGCAGCTACAGCTCATCACCTCCTCAGAGAAGGAGCCCAGCATTCCATGCTCATTGCAGTAGAGCAGAGATTGAGCCCTGGTCAGCCAAAACCCAACAGGCCTGCAGTGGGCAAAGAGAAGATACACTAATGCAGTTATCTATACATCACAGCAACATCTTTGGTAAATACTGAAGTAATGTTGTGGTCATTGTGTCCTATAATAACACCTTTCACACAGACTGGGGTAGATCTGTGGAATGAAACCAACAACAACAGTTAAAAACAGTTACCCCCCCCTCCCTCCCAGAAAGACTTAAAATACATAAGACAATCATGTAAATTTTTGGGACTCAACCTTTCAGTGTTGACTCACTTAAAGGTCATTCCTTCCTAAACCATTGTGGCTCTTCTGCTTGACTACCTCTGATTTGCTGAACAATTTTATAATTTTTTGGGCTATACATATAATGATTCCTTTTAAAATTTTCATTTCACATGCAAAACAATTTTCAAGCTATATTTTTTTGTAAAATGATATGTCGACCAATTCCAAGCATGTATTTTTTGCACTTTCAAATCCAAGGCAAAGTCCAAACATGGAGATGCATGCATCTCAAAAATGATTAAAGATAAAAGCCTGACACTTTCTCCGGCCTTTCTTACATAAAAATGAATTACAATCTGTCCCCAGTGTATTGGATATATTGGATAAGAATATTAAAACACAACAAAAATAATAATCATAAAGCCACCCTGCAAAGTCCCAAATTTGACCACACACTAATAAAAAAAATTGGGGTTGGAGTTTTGGGTTAGGGTCTTGTAAAGGATTAGCAACAGCGCTGTGTGAGCTCAGCAACTTGCCCTTGCAAAAAATCAGTATTTGTTATATTAAATTATAAATTTGCAGGGAGACTGCAAGTCACAATAAGTTTAGTTGCACTATGGTTCAGATCCACAGTTTCCTCTAGTGTCGACCTGACCCACTCTAGAAAGCCAGCCTGAGTCCTAAGCATTTAGGGCAGTTTACTAGAGGTTTCCACATTTAACACTGAAATTACTGGCTAATTCAGGTGATGTTTTCCCCATCTTGAATTTAGTGTGTTGTTTGTGTTCATTGTCATCTATTAATGTGTGTATTTTTTCCATGTAGTGAGTATTAGAGAATTTTAGTTAATAATGTGAGTGCTAACATTTTAGTTAGTTACATTTTAGTTCAGTGCTTCAGCTGTTTATTTGTTCAATAAACACAGCTGTTTATTTTGGTCACTAACCTTTACAGACTATTTTCTCCTCGAGTCTATTTTAAAACTCTTCTAATAGGCCATTAGAAGGCACTTTATTACAGTTTACCGAGCTTTGCTACTCAGAAGCTATTTTTAAACAAAAAACAGAGCTATATTGTAACAGTTATTTGGAAACATTATCTACAATGAGTTTAGCTTTCAGTGCTCAGGATCAATAATAAATCTAATTTTTAAAACATGCTCAAAAGTTTTTCTTACCTTGAACCAAAATAAAGTTTAAAAACATCTTGCCCTGCAAGTTTTACTTTACAATACTGTTGTTGTTAAATTCTACCATGGGTAACAGACATATACAGAGATTTTTTTCTTAGAAGCTAAATAGTGTGTAATGTATCTTCAAACATTCAAATTCTCAAAGCCTTCTGTAATGTCCTTGTATGTGGTCTTCTTATTTACTGTTACTTTATAACAGTAGTTAAAAAATAAAATAAATGGAAAAAAAAAACACGAAAGAATTGAAGGCGAGCGGGTAAGAGACAGACCTACAAGATAAAGTCCGTAAACTGGAGAAAACTGAGAAAAGATGTGTACACCTGGAACAGAAGCTGGAAACCACAATCAAACAGATAGAGGCACCTAGCATCAGTCATCCAAATGTAACTGTCATTGAGTATCAGGGTGTTCTCCAAGTTAAAGAGGTAAAGTGAAAAAAGCAAAGTATTGATTTAACCCTGGACAATTCTGGCAAATTAGCAAGAATAGAACAGTGTCCCAATGTATAGTAATAATAATAATAATAATAATAATAATAATAATAATAATAATAATAATAAAATCAAGCAAATACAGGTGAAATCTACTGTAGAACTAAATCTATTGACTCGATGTCAAGAGAAGTAAAAAACCAATGGACAGTGTTGGTTAATAGTACATCAGTGGCAATATCTTTGTTTTGTTGTAGCTCTAAATAGTCATGCCCTTTGCTCACACTTTTTGGATTTCAACAAGTGAAAAATGAATCCATAGTTTGCTCCATCTTCTTAATACATAAGATTATACTATAATGACTTGACACCTTTTTGTAGAAGGGTGGGTGTTCGGTGTGCCTACAGTACAGATGGAAATGAAAGCATACATAAATTACCATCCACTTTGGTGCAGTAACAGTAGCAACAAGTTTAGACTGAAAATTAGCTCTGCTGAGATTCTATCCCCAGGCTAAGCTTGGGAAATAACACAAAAAATTGCCCAAATGCTTCAGCAATTCCTCCCCCTCAGGCCTGTGTAAATAGACAAAAATAAATGATGATAAAACAAATGGATTTGTGCAGAAGAAAACAGGAAGCTTTTTCAGCTGTAGCAGCAACCATTAACTTGTTGCCGGCGCAAATGGGGTTACGACTGAGTGACAGGGTACGATAGAGAGAGCAAGGAGCGCGAGAGTGAGACAAAGGTAACTGAGGGAGAAAAATAAAGACAAGACTCTACACAGAATGGGCAAAGGGAAGATGGAGTGATTGGTGGAGGGAAAGGACTGTCAGGGAAATTAAAGTCCTCTGTAAACAAGTGCCAAGCTGTCAGTCTGTGAGAGGACTTGATTACAGCATGCCACAGAACCATGTACCTCAGCCTACAAAGGCCCCCACAACCTGTAACTAGACCCCTCTTCTCTTCTCCTCTCTTCTCTTGATCCAGTCAGCACTTATCTCTTCTCCCTCCTACAATGGAAGTGATATGCTAACAGTGAAGGGCTAATAGCAAAAATGGGTCCGCAGTATTATATGGATGATGCCATTAAAACCCACATTACCTACATCTTTTTTTACTCACAACACTGATGAATCCTACGGTTCTTTTAAGCATATTTCAGTGCAGCCCTTCGCATGTTTTGGTATCTGTCACTTCCACAGCTGGTCCGTGACATTAATATCGCCCCAAAAACGCTTCTGTCATATTTTGTGAGATTTTTTTCTACTTGTAGTGTGTTTTATTTAACTTCTGTTGTGTTTTTTTCCCATCTCCACTGTGTTTTGTGTGCTTTTTCAGCATTGTTCTGGTGTTTTCTTTTTTTTTAAACTTTTATTTAACTTTTCCCCCCAACAAATACAAGACTGGTTCACGTCCAAAATAACAATTCTGCACAGCACTAGAATATTACAACATTATGTCCATAATAATTGTCCTTTAGGGTCCAGTTTACAAGTTACTCCCAGTGCTTCCAGTGGTTTCTTCCATTTGTCCACAAAACCTCGGGAGCTCCCATCAATGTAATGTCCCAAACTGATCAGAGTCATAACATCAATGATGAGCGACTTCCATAGAGAAATGGAGGGAGGCTCAGCTGCCAGCCATCTCAACATAATGCTTTTCCTGGCCAACATTAACAGTGACTGAATTACATGCTCATGTTGTACCAGTGAAACAGGGATATATCCCAATAAGCTAATGGGTGTTCTGTCACCTGCTGACCAATGGCTGTACTAATATTGGCGCAGACCTCTTTCCAAAATGATTGAATAATAGCACTTTCCCACAAGCAGTGGAATCTAGTGCCCACTCTGACCTTACACTTGAGACAATTTGGAGATGTTCCCATATTATACTTACTATAAATATACGGAGAAATATATACGTTGTGCAGGATTTTGTACTGCAGTTCTTTAAATCGGTTACAAACAGAGATTTTAGATGGAAGGAGCAGGATTTTGTCCCATGCCTGTATATCTATTTCACATTTAAGCAACGTCCCCCAAGATTTTCTCAACCATGCCAGTTTATCCACAATTAGGGCATAAATCTCTGAATGAAACTTCGATACAAAATGTTTATGCTCCCTATTATCTAGAAAGAATTTCTCCAACCGAAAAGAGGCTGTTGCGATTTGTAATGATTTAGCATTTTTTCACACATAATTTCTCAATTGCAAATACTTATAAAACTCAGTCTTTGACATAGAATACTGGGACTTCAAGGATTCAAATGATTTAAACTCACCATGTTTAAAGAGGTCATAAAACCTCTTTACACCTACTTTATGTTTTGCGGGAGAAGATCTGGATTATTTATAAACGTTGACAAAATATTAAACAGAAGACTACTGTTAAAAAGTTTTCTCAGTCCACATAGCATTATATATTAGTGGGTTATACTTTATTACGTGAGGTAAATCATTTAGACGTTTCCCTAAAAAGTTAACAGGTGAGGATGGTTTACATGATACTTCCTCAATATTTAGCCATGGCAGATCAGAATATTCATGTATCCAGGCACAAAGAAACCTCGCTTGCATTGAGAGAACATAATTTTCTATGTTTGGCACTCCCCATCCGCCCAGATCTTTCGGTAGCTGTAGTGTCTCCAATTTAATTTTGGGTTTTCTTCCTGCCCAAATGAAATCCACCATAGCCTTGTTAATTGCTTTAATATCTTCTGATTTCAAAATTACAAACAACATGCCTGTATAATATAGGGGTGGGGGAAAAAATCGATACTTTGTAGTATCGTGATATTTTGTTTGCTAATAATGTATCGATACAGGGACAGCAGAAATCGATATTTTGTTACAAAAAACGTTTTTGTGGACTGGAACATGCTCTGACTTCAGAGCATGTTGATCCTTTTTCTGAGCAAGAATCCTGACATTCCTTCACTGTCCAAATGTGTTTAACTTCTTTTTTTGACAGCAATAAACATGACAGTTTACTTATTTTAATTTAAGACATGTTTTATTTTAATTAAGTTTAAAACTTTTTTATTTAATGTAAAATTATATTTTGTTTTAATTTACTTTCAAATTCTTCAGTTGCTGAAGGGGCTGCATAGTTTTCATAAATTGCATAGTTTAGAATAGCTATAATTGTACCAGATGGTTG